GAATTTGACATTTCTCCAGTTAGTGTTTGTTGCACCAAATAACAGCCATATGGACACAGTTTATTTATATTCAGCACCCATAGATCATTTATTAACAAGAATGAAATATATACAATTCTCCTACACTGCCAAAACAGGCTGGGGTCTCATTTCCTTTGCCTCACTAATCATTTGTTTTTTTTTAAAATTGTGTGCTATTCTAAAACAGTTGTTAATCCAGCAGTTTAAAGTGTTATATAAGTGAATTGGGTTGGTTTAAATATTGACATTTCATTTAGAGCCCAATTCAGCCCAGAATGCTGGGATGCAAATCTCTCCTGTCTTCTGACTGTAACTGTACCATATGAAATAACTTTGTACGTCTCAAACCTTTTTCCCACAGAGGTGGACCTAAAGTAAAAACTGCCCTTAATTCATATGAATTGGTTAATCAACTTGGAGATCCACAAGACATCCACGGGATGGAGAAATATCCTGCTGGTTGATAATTTTTTAAAAATTCATTCACAGAATGTGGATGTCACTGGCTGAGCCAGCATTTATTGCCCATTTCCTAACTGCCCTTGAGAAGGTGGTGGTGAGTCATCTTCATGAACTGGTACATATTGGTCAGTGTAGGCACCACCACAATGCTGCTAGGGAGGGAGTTCTAGGATCTTGACCCACTGACATTGAAGAAACAGCAACATAGTTCCAAGTCATGATGGTGTATGGCTTGGAGGGGAACATTCGGGTGGTTGTGATCCCAGGTATCTGTGCTCTTGTTAGTCTAAATGGTCATGGTTGTGGGTTTAGAAGATGCTGCCTAAGGAGCTTATCTGCAGTGCATCTTGTAGTTGGTACACTGCTACTACGGAGAGTGAATGTTGAAGGTAATGGATATAGTGCCAATCAAGTGGATTGCTTTGTCCTGAATAGCGTCAAGCCTCTTGAATGTTGTAGAAGCTGCACCCATCCAGACAAGTGGAAAATATTCCATCACACTTCTGACTTGTGTCTTGTAGCTGGTGCACAGACATTGGGAAGCAGTTTTGTAGCGTTCCACAAAAAAGCTATAAAGACTGCTTAAAAGCAACCCTGAAACATTGGGATATTGATATCATTAGTTGATGATGAGAAAGCACAGTAAAAAACTCTTGATAAATGCACCTTTCACTATGAAATCTGTCGCAATGCTGTTACCAAATGTGAACACCAACTGAGAACACCAACTGGGCCTAGTCTGAAAAATCAAAATCACTAACTCAGGATTCGCTGCTGACTCTGCATATAGTCATTCCCAGTAAAACCAGGTGTCATTGGTCATGAAAAGACTGTCTGTGAAAACTGAGATGATATTCTGGCTATCTAGTTTGATATCAAAAGAAGAAAAGTGACAGTTTGACCTGAGAATGCTTGACAATGTTTTTGGGGGCCTGAAATAGGAAACCTGATTTTGATGATTCATAAATTTTATTTAAGTGTTACTTAGGTGGTAGCAACATAAGTCCTTGTTTACTTCGCCTCCTCATAATTCTTTTTGTTATTCTGATGTGGGTGCTCCAGAGAGATAGTTATGAATGTTTCAGGAAAATTTGTTGCTGGCACTATGGAAAGTCCTGCCTGATTCAGAAGGGATTACTCACAGTAGAACAGAGTGTTATTTCCCTTGTCACATTGTCAATCAGCTAGTTCCTGTTACTTATATCTGTGAAGTAAAGTGAGGGATTTAGTTTCAGCTGCTGTGCAGGAGCAATGTGAATATCAAGATATAAAAGGCCTCGGAGCTCCAGCTAATCGACTTGCATGTTACTCTGGTTTGAGAAATGAATTTAAATATGGTATGTAGCCATGTTAAAACCATGACTGAAATGCTCTGTTTTGTTGGCTCACTCACATTTCTTTTTAACAACTCCAAGCCCTTTTACATGTGTTGAATCTGAGTTCTCTGTGCTCGCTTCTTGCACTTGGATTGTGGCATGATCTAAAGGTTGACTGATGTTAATGAGGTTTGTCACTTTGGGATAAATCCACCCAAAAGTCATATTATTTCAGTCATGTTATGGGACAGCAGGGTGTGCATAGGATTTTCTTTTATTATGTAGAATTTTTCAGTGGAAAAGAGTGAGTCCTTGGAGCATGTGATTACAAAGTTTTCTGACCAGAGGGGCAAGGATCTCCTGGAAGTATTCATTGCTGTTGAACAGAGAAAACAAGTGAGAAGTGAAGTGATTAATACTCAGGCATATATTTATTTACGTTCACTATTTTTTATGTTCCCTGCTTTTAGACTTGTATGTACCTATTCACTAGAAAGTTACGGATTCCGATGGTAATAAGGCAATTCTGACAGGTGGTCCAACACAGACATTCCACTACTAATTTGCAAGCCTTGTATCACTTAAACGTCCAACGTTTGTTGCTTTTGTTGAAAAAAAGTGTTCAATAAACTGATCACATGACCACGTATAAGACTTTCACTTACCAGTATCTGTAGCAAAGTGAAGGTCAAGTTCAAGTTCAAAGGCAAGGTCCACACACACATAGTTGAATCACAATGTTCTTTTTATGTCTAACACTGTGTTGTTTTTGATTTTCTTCTGTGTTTTCTCACAATTTCCTCTCCAGCTCCGCTGAAGGGGCTGGCTCATACCAACAACAGCCCCTGGCCCCACCGTACAAGCTGCTACAATGATCAATTCCCCAGTATAGACATCTCTCTCAATGATCTGCACAGATTCAACTAAAGGTTGATCTCTCTCTATGACACAGGGCTGAATCTTACTTTTTTGGCGGTGTCAGTTCTGTCGAATTCTTTAGAGGGTTTCTCACCACGAGGGCTTGCAAGATATCACGCTGTATCTTACCAAACATGCCTCATTACATACCTATCTGACCCCTATGGTGCCCTTCTCAACCAATTCCAGCCCCACCTTACCACACACCGCTCCCAGAAGAACACTGCACTCAGTGCGGAGGAACAGCCTGCAGTGCCGCAAGAAGGTCAGTGACCTTCTCTCCTCCACCAGGATGTCATACTCATCTCTTTCTGCTACCTCCCACTTCCCCTATATGTGCTGGAGCATCCACCTCCCACCAAGGCTCATGTTGTGACACTCTCAATATTGCCTGCAACATCTCCCCACACTCGCTCTCATTCTCCCCAACCTCCCACACTATTAACCCCACATGCCCTCTGCACTGCCTACCCACTTGCCCTGAACACCTCACCAGTTTTCAATTACCAGCACCAGCACTAACAGCCATGCCATCCATTTTCAACTCACTCAGTATCTCTCTTTATTTCACTAAAGGAGTAAACAGCTCACAGTAGGGCAGAAAGACCTGGCTGGGTGGAGGGATGCTGATTTCAGGCTCTTCGGCCTCTACAAAGAGAGGATACTGTCCCTTGGAGCTGAAGACTGGGACCACTCCTGTGGGGATGCTGAGACATCTGTGTGCCACCAATTGAGTAAGTCCCATTCTTCATCCACTGTGACTCTCACACCCCCCGAGGTGTCAGTGTCATTCATTGCACACCATTTCTAACCACTGGCTGCAATGCTATTTCTCCCTTGTGTCCTGCAGGTGGGATGTCCATGACCCCAGCGGAGAAATGGCCAGCTCTACCTTCTCTTCGACCTCTGAAGAAATAACGAAAACCTCAGAGGAATTATCAGCAAGGCTCCTGCTACACCCACCTCCAGCTCAGATATTAACGCCTTGGTTGGAATGTCACACTTAGAAAGTTTGGGAGCACAATCTGAGGAGCACCTCACTGCAACAGTTCCACAGCTGTCTGAGAAACAGCCCAGGTCACTGACACATGGAGAACTGCTAGAGACCAGGTACCTGCTCAGTCCCAAGCAGGAGAGGAGCTGGTGCTGTCAGCAATGTGGACTTTGCCCACATGCACAGGGTGGAACAGGAGCAGCAGACAGGTATGTGGGACACAATGGTCCTCAATGTCCAGTGTTCGCAGCAGTACAATTATGCTATGGGCAACCCAGCTGTCCCAAGCATGAGACTGTCTAGCTGGCCCTATGGAGAGGTTAGTAATTGCCATGGAGAATCAGGTCCAGCACCCTTGGGATCTGCTGGAGAGGGGCACATACCTGCACTCCATCACCTTTGCCATTGGTCCTCAGGACCGAAGACATGGCAACAGGAGGACGGCAAACCAGGTGAGGACTCCAGCTGCCCCTTCCTCACGAGGAGACAGGGCGGTGCCAGGAAGTACCCAGCTGGAGGAGGAATCACGTGCAGGGTCCTGCAGACGTCTCCTCTCAGGATACTCCAGAAGTGGCTGAGCCCACTATCTCCATCCTGACTCTCCTCCTCCAAACTTTGGAAGTTCAAACTGAGGAGGGGTCCACTTGCTTCTGGTAAGAAGACCCTTGGCATGTCAGGGACATCCAAATAGAGATGGCCGGAGATCATCCAACTGATCCTCAAAGGCCAATGGCCTGCACTACCCAGGAGGCTCCCTCCAACCCAGCTACAGACTGGGATGGAGAGAAAGAAAAACCCTTTTGGAGAGCACCTTGGTGACAGTGCACTGTGCATGAAGTACCACATTCGTATTAACGTGCTTGTTTTTGTACTACATCTGTTTGTTTGAATCTCTGTGTAGCCCAGAATGTAAATGTACCGGCATTATGCTTAACATCGTGGCCACACAGGATGGATCAAGGATCATGTAATGTGTTGAGCATCTGCTGCAGCATCCAGATAAGCATAAAGTGAGTGAGTGCTGAGAGAGCAAGTGAACAGCCCTGAGATGGCCCAGTCTGTGAGCTGGGTGTCCGTCCCTGTGCACAAAATGTCCTTACAGCAGCCCTTTCAATGCGAGTTGCTGGTGCATCCTGCAAGTGGTCCAGAGAGGGGCCATGAGCATCCGGAGGATTTGGCAAATCTCAGATGCCAGTGTTTGTGGACATGGGGTGCATATGGCCGGTGCTCATGGAGAGTGCTCTGAGATGTTTGTGTCCAGCACCTAACATTGTGGGCTGAAGGGCCTGTTCCTGTGCTGTACAGTTTTATGTTCTATGGAGGTCATTTGGAGCAAGCGGTGAGCTAAAGTCACCAGGTACCCTCTCTGACTTCCATGTCAAAACTTCTCGGCATCTAATTTGCCCGTGGTTTGTATTAGGATGGGAAACTGCACTTCAACTGATGAGGAGAGATGTGCAGTTAATAAGGTTGCTAACAAGCAATAATCTCCCTTGAAAGGCGACTCACTGCTGCCTAGCAAGAAGCTCACCTCAACACCTGGGAACTTAGTTAAAAGATGCAATGAGTTGCTCCCAAGATTGAAATAAGTCTCGCTGGACATCTTGTGTAATTCTGCCACATTTCTCACCATAGTCCAGGTCATTCAGACTCCTGTAAGATTCCGCCTGTAGCATTTTCCCCATACAAACAGGCCATTAAGCCCAACTGGTCCATGCCAGTGTTTATGTGTCACATGAACTCCCTCCTAGCCACATTCCTCTCACTCTATCAGCATAGCTTTCCTTTTTGGGTGATGTTAGGGTGCCTTCTTAAACTGCTGCAGTCCATCTGGTGTAGGTAATGCCATAGTGCTGTTTGGAAGGGAATTCCTTTTCATGCACTTAACTTCCCTTAACTGCATCAATATTACATTTTATAACGCCACTAATCAGATGTTATCTGGATTAAATAGGATAGTAACTAGCAAACATTATCATCGTTGGTTAAAATAGTGTGTCTTTAACAAAGAGGAAAGAAATGCTGGAAATCTGAAACAAAGACAGAACATGCTTGTGAAAGAAAACTGGTTCTTCAGCATCTGAAAGAGAGAGAGGAATTCATGTTCAAGGTGAGATCATGTATCCTAATAGAGCAACAGGTATGGATCTCAAATATTATTTCATTTTTGTCTTTTCAGATGCTGATTGAATTGCTCTATATTTTGGACATTCTCTGTATTATGTAGTTTTAGTTCAATAAGCATCAAGATTGAATGATGATTCGCTAGAATAAGGACAACTTTGTAAGCCTACATTGCATGGAGGAAAGCATCAGTCTGATTAGTCTGCTAATTTCTTTTGTTTAGTAACACTTCATGCATGAAGACTTTATAAATAACATGATTAATAAACAATGCTGATACATGGGACACCATTATGTTAATACCATAATTAGTGTGAATTAGTGTCATTCCAGAACCAGTGTCTTGTTACGGACATTTTCAATTAGATACAGATGTAATCCTTTTGATGATTAATTAATAACTACAATCCTATAAGCAATTAATGAAGAGCTTCACGATGTATCGTGATCCAGGGATTAGAGATGGAAACCTCCACATTTTTAGATTTCTTTTCTTGCCTTGGGACACTTCAATATTGAAGTGTTTTACAAGTGCACATTATTGTATCCGTTGTGTTAAAAAATAGTTACAAGTAACTTTTTAATATGTGGATACAAAGAACAGCATTGCAGCTAAGAGATTGTTGCATTTTCCATTCACAGTGTTGTTGTTTTCTTGAATACTAGCTCTGGTTCTGCTTTGTTTTTCTGCCTGTATTTTCTTCCCTTTGTCTTGAATGTTCTGTCTCACATTAGGATTCGGTTCAACGGCTGGTATATTGTCTCCAGTAATTCACCCAAGCAGCCATTTTTCGTTCTTTGAGGGTACATAGTGGTTTTGTTACTGAGCTAGTAATTGAGCAGACAGGACTAATGATCTGCAGATACGAATTCAAATCCCACCACTGAGCAAATGGGGAATTTAAACTCATTTAATAAAATAAAATCTGGCTGCAAAACACCAGTATCATTAAAGATAACCAAAACATTAGCCGATTGTTGTAAAAACCCAATTAGTTCATTAATATCCTTTATGGAAGGAAATCTGTTGTCCACATCCTGTGAATGAATTATAAAAAAAGAAAGCTTGAGCCAACACAGTGAATGCCAGTGTGAAGAGATATTCATTCCAAACCCAACTGAGTCCACATAGAGGACTCACTAGCTTGTCATCAGGGTGGAACCCAAGCTGATTTTTGTTCCTTTCCTCTGGCCTGAAGTTAATTATAGTTTTACTAAAATGACCCAGACTGGGAACAGCTAACTCAACACAGAATGCGGATGTAAGCTGGAAATTTCCTAGCTTATATGACTTTGTACCACACTGGGCAAAGCTCACCAATAATGGTTTTATTTAAAGGGAATTTACTGTTCCTTTAATCTACTTAATTTGTTTGTGTAATTGTGCATCTCAGTCAGTTGAATAAAAGTAGATGGATATAAGGGGTCTTGTGGTGCAGTGGTATTGTCTGTACCTCAAAGCCAGGAGGCCAGGTTCAGGCCCAACCTGCTCCAGAGATGTGTAATAACATATCTGAACAGGTTAATTAGAATATATCTAAAAGTAGATGAATTCTTATCTTAATCTTAGTGTTATCTTAAGAAAAATGGTTCCAGGAATGAGAACCTTCAGTTATGTGGATAAATTGAATAAATTGGGACCGTTCTCCTTGGAGCCAATAAAGCTGAGAGAAGATGTGATAGAAGTTTTCAAAATCATGAGTGGGCTAGATAGAGAAAAAGAATGTTTCACTGTGAGTAGATAGGGTATGGAACACACTGCCTGGAAATGTAGTGGAGCTAGGTTCAATTGAGGCATTCAAGAGGACACTGGATAATTATTTGGTACAAATAAGGTGCAGGGGTATGGGGAAAAGGCAGGAGATTGGTGCATGGTAATGATGCTCATTTGAAGAGCCAGTGAAGGCACAACGGGCCGAATGACCTCCTTCTGCGTAACCATTCTGCAATTCTGTGATCTGTACCTCATAAATTATGAGGGGATACAGTAATATGATCTGACCTTGATAGCTAGGAGAGCTTGGACGTACTCAGTTAGTGGAAAAACTCCATTTCAAGATAACATCAAGGCTTTGAATTTTTGATTAGATTACAAATAACTGGTTTCTTGCAGTAATTGATGTAATAGATTATTTTATTATATA